ACTTTCACACTGTGTTATATGATCACTATATTAAGCCCATTCAAATCGGGTGACTGGAGTGAGACATTGGCGTATGCGTCCCAACGTTTGCTTCAAGTTGATCAAAGGTCCACGGCCAGCCCACCGAGTATGTGCAGCGAGGAAACAGCGACAGGCTGATTGGGTGCTGTAAGGAACTCCACGTCATCTACTGGTAGACACTTCGCTAGTTGCCTTTTTCAGGGTGCGCCTAATAGACGTGGTCGGTGGAGGCTTGCGGGGATCGTCACAACTGAGTGTGTTCACAAATTAAGCAATCACTTAAGTTAAGCTAACATTACGATCGCATCTTCGGAGGTCTGGTAGTGCACATTTGGTTCATCTGTATGCCAAAGTCATTAAAACATGTCCTCCGCTGTCGCATTTTGCTGTGTCAGTGCTTCCAGCCAGATGAATAACATGAAAGTACCTGCATGCACAATCCACGAGTGATGAGCAACCGTGGTGAGCAACCTTATATCAAGTCCCTAAGATGCCGATCGGCGGATTACCATATCACCGGTGCATTACAGACATACCTTCATGTCTCTACCACTAGGCTCCTTTACGCAGGTATGTAGTGAAAGGGATGAACAGGGCGCGAATATTTTCCACGTCCTTCGAAGTTTAAACGGAAGGTGTTCAGTCCAGTGTATATCACAGGGATATTCCACTACCTCACTGCACAGGTTGGCTCATCCTATAGTGGCACAACACATGTTCTCGGATTCTGTCAGTCGTTCAAAGATGGACCACCTTGTTATTTATCTGCAAATGGACACGCTTAGTGTAAGATTAACTTTATGTAAAACATCGGAAAACGTCGAGTAATCTACTTCCTAAACGTGGTCCCGATATCCGTGCCTCTATTACTCGTCCCCGAATCAGTCCGTACATAGCAGACTGTTTTTGGACTACGGGGACTACGGTAATGTTGAGTCACTTTTTCCTCTTTGACACAATTGGCCTTGCAACTCGTTGGTCAGATCTGTGGCCACCAAGGATGGCGGATCACGTATGCTTTTCTGGAAGTACTAAAAGGTATCGTAAGTCTTGCAGTGGACATGAGACTTCATGGAACGGCTTTGTGAGGGAAATGGTGAGACCGAGCAGCAGAATTTATAACGCACAACGCAACCCCACTTCATTACAGATTGAAAATGGATCACTCTTTCTTTGGAGGACCAACACTTCCTACTGGGTTCAACCGACGTTGCCTTGTTCTTTTCTATGTACCTGCTTAAATACACTTTACCTATTCAACTATTGGATCTTTTCCAGTTAAGTCCCGCCAAAAAGTTAAGCTCCGCCACCCAAAAAAGATTATGAAAAGGGAGGATATGGAACTTGAATTTAAAATTAAGACAAGTCATTAATACTTTGCATGAAAAGGTCCATTTTTCCGTGTCTTTGCCTCCAAACGAACTCACACAGGTAGCTGTCCACTAAAGATCGGTGGGTGCCGCATTGGCGCTTATTCTGCATCTTGTAAATGTGACAGAGAGATTCGATGGTTTGTGTGTGAGCTCCAGTCGTTGGATCCACAAAGTTTTCGGTATGATTAACCGTTTGATGAGTATAACTCATGCCAATCATCGATTCAATGCCTTGGTATGATGCCCACATATCGGAAATGATAATTGAGCCGGGAGCGATGCAGGCCTGGATTGTGTCCAGCAGAGTGGCCGCAGTTCGATCTGGCACTGCATACAAGAACACTGCTTTAGTCTCCCGGCAAATCCCTCCGAAAATCCACTGCTGGGGAAGGACTCGCCCTGCATGGTTTTTACGACATGATATTAGGGTTTCATCGATCTCGACATGTAGACCTGGGCCGCCGACAATCGTTGGAGTCCGCAAAAGCTGTCAGGCGCAAATTTCACGCAGAAAGCTCTTCCAGTCGACAACGGTCGCGTGGCCAATAGATAACTCCTCTGAGCAGAATTTGATTGTTGTCAGATTTTTGGACCAGCAATAAATGAATAGGATTATTGTCCTGAAATCCATCATAGACCGCTCCAGCCAAGTTCCCTTTCGAAGACCGATTTCTTGCCGACACTGTCGGGCATCACACCACCTTTCAGAAACAGTTGAAAGTGTCATTTGGTGTCCTCGTCTGCATAAACGTTGATGATGAATCACTCCATGGCTTTGCAAAAAACGTATTGCTGTTTCCTTGTCATGAACGACCGCCGAAAGCGTCAAAAAGTTCATGTCAGGTTTTACGTGCGAACGTAGAAACTTTTTGGACAAAAATGACCTTAGAAGCGGATAAGGAGTGTTTTTATGGGGCACATTCACATGCATTACGTACACTGGAGCTGGCAAACAGTGGCGGGGCTCAACTTTTCACGCGCGCCCTTTTTGCATTATTGGTGGGGCTTGACTTTTCAGGTGTACCCTTTTTGCCTTAGTGGCGAGGCTTAACTTTTTGCGCGTGCTCTTTTTGCATTAGTGGCGGGGCTTAACTGGAAAAGATCCCAACTATTGAGTGGACGCTTACTTGGGGGAAGCAAGAAGTTGTGTGCCTGACGTAGTGTAAGTGGAAAGGAGACGTACGGTGGACGTGGAACAGGGAACAATCAGGTGTCAAGGTTAACTGACTCAAACCGCCAGCATTGTGCCCCAGATCGTTAGTGGCATATGGATCGCTCGCATACAAAAGATTGCAGATGAAGCCGAGGGCGTTAACAACTCGTTCCATCGGACACATTCCACGGCGTGCGTTACTGCCCCAATTTCCGGACATCATGCACCATCGTCCCAAGAACTCAAATCTTTAGCGTTTGCCTCAAGCTCGACCATGGGCCGTTAGTTCCGGCTTCTTTTGTGCGTCCAAGTGACTCATCCCATCCATGACCAGGACAATTGGGGGCACGCACACAGACAGGTGACCGCTTCTGTGTCCGCTTGGGTGCCTGGTCTGAGCGCGCTCCTAATCCTACTCTCACCAATAACTGGTTCTTTCCAGTACTTCGTCCTCCCATTATTTACGCTGTGCCAATGTGTAATTCAGAGTGCAACTAAACTGGCGTCGCAGTAGTTATTCCAAATGCAAATACATTGATTGATTCCCTTAATATTCACGTCAGGGCTAATGATATGCTAGATTGGATTAACAGATTCTAACCTTGTTGCAGTATTCGTAAGGAAGATACAAACGAATCGGACCTTATGCTTCACTACTGCAGGCAAGTGCGAGTTCTATTCTCTTCTGGGAAATCCAGAAGTCGATGGTGCAAGAAACGCTTCATTGGCTACTCTTCCGGTTGATCCGAAGCTTGGCAACAAACTGTCGTCATTCGTGTAATCCGTGTTGGGAGTGTCCATCTGGATTGAACAAATAGATCCAGGAAATGCACCACACAGACAGTGGGAAACGAAATTGATACATACAGTCGTTGGACGCATCAAGTATACTTGTCCGTTATGTTGCTCCACTGTTTGAGTGGCCTCCTAGTGTGCCACAGTGAGTTCTTCGTCACGTGCTCAATTGATTCAAAGAAGGAACATCATCGCCCCAAGTGGGACAACAACACATCGAGGTTTTCCGTGGGGAACTATGTTGTTTGTTTTTGGGACATAAACACTGACGTTGAAGGATCGAGGGTTTCGACATGGTTCACCCCATCTAAAGAAACAGCTGCATGCCCTTCCTTAGTTATGATATGAACAAGTGCAGAGCTGCTGGAATGTTGCTTATCACTGACGGCATTTACGTGTCATCAATTAACCTAGTGGGTCACCAGATGTGCTTGACGGTTACGTTGGGATATGCGTGCACATGACCTTAGCGTGTACAATACCCTGTAATCAACTACGTCGCCAAGTGCTAAGAACCGGAATGCATAGTTTGCATAATCAACAGTAACTGGGAACGTTGAGCCCGTGGGTGGCGGGAGTCTGGATATCATCTACTGTTTTTCTGGTCCACCAGAGTACACTACACACGCAATTCACACTTGTTATTTTTCCTGGCACGCGCTAACGTAGCATGTTGTGTTGAGCCGTCTTTCAATTACTGGTGACTCAAGAAAGAGTAAAAAATAGGAGTAAATACCAAATATAAAGCTGATCCTTATCTTAACTATGGACCTCTATTCTACCTTTTCATAGAATGGTTTGGATCAAGAGGTTTGGATTGGGAGAGGAAGATTCCAACCTTAACCCTAACGTCGATCCTTCCGTAATATCCCTCCTCACCCATATTCTTTGTGTTCACGACCAACAAATTCCACGGTCCGGCAGAAACGGAATATCGTCTCTTACATTGCAATCTATTTATGCGGTTTAATTACATGAATCCCACCAGTTTCGTCATCGCCGAGTGTGTACCCAAAGTGGGACAAGTCACGACGGATAGAGCCTCTGGGTTACACATGGTCTTAGACCATTCGTGGAGACGATATGATGGAAAGTTTTCTCATGAGAGTAAACTGCTGTCCAGGACAAAGCCACAATGACTTTGTGGAACCCCCAATTGTAACCCGGATAGGATATTCCTATACGTGGTAATGTCGTTAGAATCCCTTTTACAGTGCCGCTAACCAGGTGTCAATTATCCATTTGGATTGGAAAGAAGTGAAACTCCATATCCTCCACTGTACTTGGAATGGCTTAGCCTTAATCTCCCTCGTTCTTCTCGAGCTCACTTCCGCTAGACTAGCTGTACATTCGGGAACGGGTTTAATACACAAACGCTCGCGCGCTTAATAGTCACTACTTGATAGATGCATGATCACAAACTAGACTAATGACACTAAGTACTACGTAGTAGAAAACAGAATCCTGTTGTCGGTCCTTCATCCCAAATATCGTAGGTAGTTAGCACATGGTAGTGAGAATGATGGGCGGAGAGAACCTGTGACAGTTCATGGATGTCCAAGCTTCAGAGACCCAACCTGATTTGATCCGCTCGATCAAAACAAACACGTTTAGGTGACTTAGTTACGACCCCAACTAAAGCAGCAAAAGACAAATAATGCCACTTTGCAGAAGTTGAATCTACTACAGAAAAGTTCCATACACAGCGAGTTTAACAAATCACAACCTAGAACTCTTCACCCTCTTCGTTCTCTCCTTCGTCTTCGACGCTGTCTACGCCAACCTCCTCATAATCCTTTTCCAGCGCTGCTAAATCTTCACGGGCCTCGGAGAATTCACCCTCTTCCATGCCTTCACCAACGTACCAATGTACAAATGCTCGTTTCGCATACATTAGGTCGAATTTGTGGTCCAGACGAGCCCAAGCCTCTGCGATTGCAGTTGTGTTGCTCAGCATGCAAACAGCACGTTGGACTTTGGCCAAATCCCCTCCTGGCACCACAGTCGGCGGTTGGTAGTTAATACCTACTTTAAAACCGGTCGGGCACCAGTCAACAAATTGTATGGTCCGCTTCGTTTTGATTGTAGCGATAGCAGCATTGACATCCTTTGGTACCACATCGCCACGATATAACATGCAGCAGGCCATGTATTTTCCGTGGCGTGGGTCACACTTCACCATCTGGTTGGCTGGTTCGAAACAGGCGTTGGTTATCTCGGCCACACTCAGTTGCTCGTGATATGCTTTCTCTGCAGAAATGACCGGTGCGTAGGTTGCAAGGGGAAAGTGAATGCGAGGATAAGGCACTAGGTTGGTCTGGAACTCAGTTAGATCCACGTTGAGAGCCCCATCGAAGCGTAAAGAAGCGGTGATGGAACTGACAATTTGACCAATTAAGCGGTTCAAATTGGTGTAGGTCGGTCGTTCGATGTCTAGGTTGCGTCTGGAGTAGATAGGAAAAGGCGGTATGATGATGTTGAAGGCCATAATGCATAGAAGCTGATTTACGTAAAATGCAAACACTCTTATTATTATTACTATTATTGTTGAACCAGTAGACAGATGTAAGGGGCCGGTTGCATGGACGAGGGGAAACCTACCGACAAATATCGTAGATGGCTTCATTGTCGACCATGAAAGCACAGTCAGAGTGCTCTAGCGTGGTGTGTGTGGTTAGGATGGAATTGTAAGGCTCGACGACGGCCGTGGAAATCTGTGGCGCGGGGTAGATGGCGAATTCCAACTTAGACTTCTTCCCATAATCCACACTCAATCGCTCCATAAGCAGTGAGGTGAAACCGGATCCTGTGCCACCACCAAAAGAGTGGAAGAGCAGAAAGCCTTGCAATCCGGTGCACTGGTCGGCCAGTTTGCGAATGCGATCAAGCACCAAGTCGACTATCTCTTTGCCGACCGTGTAGTGACCACGCGCATAGTTATTCGCTGCGTCCTCTTTACCGGTGATAAGCTGCTCAGGGTGAAACAGTTGACGATATGTACCCGTACGGACTTCGTCTACGATAAAAGGGAAGTATCATGCGATTACAGGGAGTTCATGGGACGAGTTCTAAAAATGTGTCAACATAGTAACAACCTCACTTCTTATCGTGCAAAGTTTATCGGTGTCACAAAAAGTTCACTCACCGACTACAGTTGGTTCAAGGTCCACGAACACTGCTCGTGGGACGTGTTTGCCAGCTCCTGTCTCACTGAAGAAGGTGTTGAATGAATCATCCCCGCCACCAATGCTCTTGTCGCTGGGCATTTGTCCATCCGGTTGAATGCCATGCTCGAGGCAATACAATTCCCAACATGCGTTACCGATTTGCACGCCAGCCTGCCCGACGTGAATCGAAATGCACTCACGCTAAAGAAGAAGGAAGAGGAAGCAGAATGATAAGCATCCCCGTGAAATTTCAAGCCGAATACTTCTCATGTATACACCCTCAGTCAGCATACTCACCATGTTGAATGGTGTTTGGATCAAGCGAAGTTACGAGCTAATGTGCTCCGAGGTTGAGCACACTAGTCTGAGCCACTCATCTTTATATGCAAAACGGCGTAGCCTGGCAACCAGACCCCGCATTTTAAGTGTTGTTTAGATGACACCCGCTGAGAAAATGGACCACCTAAGCTGGTTACCAAGACGACGCTACCAGCATTGTGTCCTTCTGAGGTCAAGCGCTGCGATGGGTAGCCAGATGAATTGGAAATTAACGCCATTGATAGAATAGAAGCTAGGTAGCTACCAAGTGTATGCGGGAATTCCAATACCGACACAAAATGCACTAGTGTTTGGGCACAGATGCTGGTCCAACGCAGAAACTGCTCTGTTAGTACTCATCGAGATGATAAGCGTGGATTTCGTGAGACGTTGCTACGCGTCTACACTTACGTAATCACTTTTCCACTGGAACTCCTGTTGCGTAGCTCCGCGTCAGCACCTCTTTGCGCTGAAGAAATTGTGGTCCAATTTGTTGTTGTCAAATGCTTTCAAGGTCGTCACGATCCCGGTCAGTGCGCGACCGACAGCGGTCCGGACGAATTACCAAGTAAATAATAAGATTTACTAAAATCTCAGCGAGTTAGGAGATTTTGCCATAGTGGTCAGCATTCAACTCCATTTACTAAGGGAAAGTGTGCAAGTCGGCGCACACGTTTACTGCAGTGATGACAAAGTTGCGTAGTCGATGTCTAGACGAAATCTTTTGCAGAAAAACGGGCAAGATTTGCTAGCAATTAATAAATTTGAGGTTGTGAAAAAGTGTTAACTGTGGGATAGCTAACGAACCGTAAACGCAAGTGGTCACATCCATACGATTCTTTCTTTACAGCTTGAAGGGGTATGGGTACGTAATCAAGTAACTAGATTTTGCGGAGGCAAGTGTCAGTTTTGACACAGCTATCTTACGTAAACTGACAAAATAGACAATATACTGTCAGGTAACATCAATTTTTAGATATCGCCGTGTGTTCAGCAAACTCGAAAGAAGTCTGTGCAGAACGCATACCCAACGCAGTGAGAAAAGCGGTAATTAAGAGAGGACACCGATGTCGGAGGTCAGATGAGGAGCGTGGAATGAGATTCCAAACGTTGTGGGTAAATATGGAGTGATAACGTGTAGTATTGGTTCGGTCTGATTCCCGGATATTCCATGGATATGCAACATATAAGACTTCGTCGTCCATCAGCATTTGTGGATACCAAGCGATATATTTTCGGTAACCCTCGCTGTTATGATCATGGGTATGGAGTTTTGAGACAAGTTAGTAGGGGATTTCTTCGCAGTAGTTTTCAAAGAAGATAGTCCTCCACATGCACTCGACGGCCGTTTCGACCTGTTGGGTCGCGTCAGTAGGACGCATCTATCGGAAGCCGAACCCATGTCCATTAACGGGTTGTACCAGCAGCTAGCAGCTTATGCGACTGATACTTGGACGATTGGACGGAGTAGTTTCTGTAAGTGGCTGAAGATGTCTCACTAGGTTCAAAGTCAGCACTAATGGACAATGGCAATATAGTCATATGAGGTACAGTTTGTGGTGAGCAGCGAAGAGTTCTTAAAGCGAAGTGGTATGAACTGGGTGTATTTGGCGCTAAAATGTCAGTAGAAAGATTAAGAGGATTGGAATTCGGGAATGAACAAAGTTTATTACAAAAATGCTGACTAACAGTTGCGTTGTTTTAGTCATGAAAACGAACTTGTGCGTAGTTCCAAGTGGATTAGACACAGCTATACTCAGAAATGCGGCTGAAGCTATCCGAAAAAGCGCCGAACGGTCAGCCTCGTTTTGTGTGGACTGATCAGAAGTACGCATGTTACTCGAATCATCCGAGATTCAATAGCGTAGCATCGCGGTCCTCAGTCAGTGGTTCCATTCGGTGCGTAAGAACCAGGGATGTGGATGGAACCGCTCATTGTGTTGAAAAATATTAACAGACGCAACAGTTCTGACCAACGGAACATCCGCTCAGCTAAGCACTCCGGGAGCGTTTGATTGCATAACGTCGAGAAAATGCTGGTCAGGTGGGAATAATACAGTACAAATTTGACATAGCAGCCGAATACATTCTCCAACAATTGCTCTACAATTTCGCTGATATACAACCCTATGTTAACAAATGTTTGTTCTTCTGAAAAGGAAGGAGCATGCATTTTTAGGCTGAGTCGTAGTGGATTCCATGTTGGAACCGCCCATGGGTGCTCACTGCAACGGACAAATCAACGAAAGTCAGGTTGATCCTCGGGAGAATTGACCCCACTTTTACTCCGCGCCTAACTTTCGAGCACCAGCAGCAGCATAGATACAAACAACGGAACATAGTAGTCTCTTTCACTTGAAGGTGACTTCTGATGCTGCTGGTCATACTTGTTTATCGTGACTCCTCGCATTGTCAGGTGCGAGGTGTACCATCCCAGTTCTTCGGTATGCAAATCAAAAGTCTTTCAGAAGTATAACTATACGCAAGGGACTTATTCGGTCCCCCAGTTGCCGACGTAAGTGCTTCACATGGAGTACCCACCAGTGCCCTCGAGGAGTGCGCCAATTGCTTGGCTTATTCTCTGGACAAAAATATATTCTGTGTGTCCTACAACACATGACCACTGGTTACTGAAGAATAGTTTGCACCAATTTAGCGCTAGATAAGTGTAAGAACCTATCGATCTGTGGAGGTGTCGATGTTGCCCGCATCAGACGTTACATGCCACAGCCGACTTCATCTTGATTCATGACTGATACCTTCCTTATTGGTCACTGAGATCCCTGCGTAACGGTTGAACATCGATTGGGAATATATTGTTACGTTCGGAAGTACCAGTGTGCTTTTGATGGCGACACGCGATCTCAACAAGAGCACCGATTTGTTCCAGTGCAAACCTCGGTCTTTCCGACCACTGGGGTCGCACCCGAGGTGGATAATCCTCGGTATCGCTGACAGTCAGCTGGCCGTGTGCGCTTCTATGGGAACGAAAGTTATTCAAACGATACATCTTAGGTGGATGAGGTACACTTAAACAATGCATACGAGCATTGCTGCCGTAGTTCGTGTGTTCGCTTAACCGTGGTACTGTCCATGGGTTATCGCAAACAAAAATATAGATCCACTCTTTCCGGGTCGCAGTTGTTTGCATGGTTAAATTTAATGGTGACTAAGCCAATTGGACGTACTCAAATCCATTTGCTAGTTACTCAACGTTTATACTTACTCGAGCAACCTAATGTGCCATAAGGCATTTGGCTGCTTAGCAAGTGAAATTGTAGGACTAGTTAATACTAGTCCTATACTGTGCGCGAAATAAAGCGCGGATAGCAGAAGGCGATTGGAGTCAGACATAGCGGACTGTATTCGATGGGTTACAAGAAGACACGGACGGATGAAGCAAGACAAGAGCGAACACGTGAGCGCGGGAATTTACAAGGCGGTCGAGTATCGAGCCGGTTGTAAGGAAGATTAAAACAAGAAAGAATAATGTACAATCGGTCAAGCATTAAATTGTACATGAAAGATAGCAGTTATCTTTTCGGCCGCTACCGAGCTCACCCCCTAGATGGCTGAACATAGGAAGCCTTCGATTTCGAAAACGACCGTTGAATCGAGGTTCCTAATGCAAATTCGTGCCGAGTAAAAGGAGCTAGCGTTCGTGTCAAATGGGGGTTCGCCGGAAGTCGGAGTCCGCTGGACCGTTTGTGATTTGTTATTTATTGATTGTAGGGCAGAGTGCATTTCGATGATCCGTTGGAGCGAGCTTGTTAGAGTACAAAAAACTGGCTAGCCCAGAAAAAGGCCGACAGGACCTCAGTCTCCGCTGCTGCCAAACGGTGCACCTGGGAGTGGTCTCTGTCTCCGCCGCACCCCGCCCCGCGTCAAAACGACCCTCGTCCCACGGAGAAATGACCATCCTCCCATGAAGAAGCGATACTCGTCCCGCGGAGAAGCGACGTTCGTCCTGCGAAGAAGCGACACTCGTTTCGCTGGGAAGCGACATTTGTTCCGCGGTGAAGCGACACTCGTCCAGCGGAGAAACGAACAGCTTTCGCCTCAGGGTCCTCGAAAACATTCCTCGTGTGGGCCAGTCGATCGAAGCGGAGGGTTGGGGCATGTACAGACAAGCAAATAGAAAAGCATGCGCAGAAAACGCCAAAAAGGACGAACAAATTATCTGCGTGTATAAACTTTTTGGTTTTTGAATATATTTTTAATAGTTTTTTGCTTTTTGATATTTTTGTTTCTTTGCAAAACGTTACTCTACCAATAATGTTGTAAAGATATACAATAACTACAAAACTAAACGTATTTAAAGTGTACATGGTCGGAAAAACGAACTAGCTTACGCACCTCCCGACCACGGCGATTGGTCGCGGGAGGTGGCGGGCTAGATTCGGGAGATCTCGGAACGGCTGAAGCTTGTAGACCGAGATGGTGGTATGGCTGAACTGCATTAGGATGCTAAAAGCTGGTGCGGTGAGTTGCGACGTCGCATGAAGCACTACTAAACGAAGTAGCCGAGGTGGTTTCCTCCATAAAGGCGGGTTTTAGACGGTCGATGGTGACGACTTCGTGTCGACCACCGCGGTCAATTGTGTACGTCTTACTCGCAAGGTGTAGCATTTAAAAGGTCCTATCTACGGCGACTGAGGAAGATGTCGAACACCGTCTGCGCAAAGAAGGACGTTTGAGCACGTAAATAGCTTCTCAGGCACGTACGTTGGTGTCTTCTACGATCGAGGAGCGGGTGAACGCAGCTCAAGCATCTGGTGAGCCAATCGATTGGTGTAACTTCCGTAGTCAAAAGAGGAAGTAGAGGGGGTGGTGCTACCAGCTGTCCGGGCAACCGCAGTGTGCAACGGTAGACCAGCTGCGCTGGTGCTGCATCGAAATCGGTTTCAACAGTGTTTCTTAAGCCTAGGAGGACGAGAGGAAGTGTTTCAGACCATGAAGGATCCGCGTGTGCCCGTAGGGTTTCCTACAACTGGTGGTGAAAAAGCTCTAGCACACAGTTAACAGCCGGATGATACGCCATCATCTGAACGTGGCGACAGC